GCCGCACCTCCTCCGCCAGCGGCGGGGCAGCGTCGCCGCCACCCCACTCCGGCTCGGGCTCCACCTCCCCACGCCGACCCCGCTCCGCCTCCCCGCCGCGCTCCCGCTCCGCCCTTCCCTCCCGCCTCTCCGCGCCGCCGCCGCGTCGGCGGCGGCACCGGAGCCGGTGGGGTCGGCCTCGCCCAAGTTCCTGGGCGTGGAGACGAAGACGCTGAAGAAGATCGTGCCGCTGGGGCTCATGTTCTTCTGCATCCTCTTCAACTACACCATCCTGCGGGACACCAAGGACGTGCTCGTCGTCACCGCCAAGGGCAGCAGCGCGGAGATCATCCCGTTCCTCAAGACGTGGGTCAACCTCCCCATGGCCATCGGGTTCATGCTGCTCTACACCAAGCTCGCCGACGTGCTCTCCAAGGAGGCCCTCTTCTACACCGTCATCTTCCCCTTCATCGCCTTCTTCGGCGCCTTCGGCTACCTGCTCTACCCCATGCGCGACGCCATCCACCCCACCGCGCTCGCCGACCGCCTCCTCGCCGCGCTGGGGCCCAGCTTCCTGGGCCCCGTCGCCATCCTCCGCGTCTGGAGCTTCTGCCTCTTCTATGTCATGGCCGAGCTCTGGGGCAGCGTCGTCATCTCCGTGCTCTTCTGGGGATTCGCCAATCAGGTACAATCAAATCTTTCCTCTCGGATTTAGTAGCAGCAATTGAAGTTTGCAAACTATTCTCCTGAAATATCGGCAATAACTGACAGTGATGTTGGTCTACGAAATTACAAAATTGTCAGTTGGTTGTAGGACATTGTTGTTCTAAACATTTGTGAATAGCTGAACGGGTCATGTTTAAATTTGTGTAGATTCTCACTTCAAAACAATTGGCTACGTACACAAATTCTCAGTGCATTTAACGATTGCAGATTACTACGGTTGAAGAGGCCAAAGAGTTTTACCCACTGTTCGGGCTTGGGGCCAATGTGGCACTCATCTTCTCGGGTCGCACAGTGAAATACTTCTCAAACATGAGGCAGAATTTGGGTCCAGGGGTGGACGGATGGGCGATTTCATTGAGGGGCATGATGAGCATAGTGGTTTTGCTGGGCCTTGTGATTGCCGGCATCTACTGGGGAGTAAACAAGTTTGTAATTGATAAATCAGCTGCGCCAGTCGTCGAGCGGAAGAAGAAGGTCGGTTTTCTTATGGGTTCTATGGTTTGCAACTTCTGTTTATTGAGCTTTCATTTATGGTGCTTCAAACATGACCCTGCAGGATAAGCCAAAGCTGAGTATGGGAGAGAGTTTGAAGGTGCTTGTGTCATCTCGGTATGTGAGGGATCTTGCCACCCTGGTCGTTGCTTATGGTATAAGCATTAACCTTGTGGAGGTGACATGGAAGTCAAAACTGAAGGCACAAGTAAGTTCATCCACATTGCCAGATGTGCAATTGTTTGGTGATAATATGAGTGGTTATTAACTCTATTTTCTGTTGCAGTACCCAAGCCCTAATGAATATTCTTCATTCATGGGGGATTTCTCGACTGCTACTGGCATAGCCACATTTACAATGATGTTGTTAGGGAGAGTAATTCTTAGGAAGTTTGGGTGGGGAGTCGCAGCTACAATCACCCCTGCAGTGTTGCTTCTCACTGGAGTTGGATTCTTCTCACTGATTTTATTCGGTGAGCCATTGACTCCTCTTATGGCCACACTTGGAATGACACCTTTGCTTGCTGCGGTCTATGTTGGGGCAATGCAGAACATTTTCAGTAAGAGTGCGAAGTACAGTTTGTTTGACCCTTGTAAGGAAATGGCATACATTCCTTTGGACGAGGACATGAAGGTTAGTCTCCAAAATTCCTATCTTGATATAATTAATCAGGCCAGTTGCTCTAATGTCAGAAAACATATGGTAGTATTAAACAGATAAACCCTGCTACCCACTAGTTCTGTTGGAATTCAGAAAACTGTGCTAGGCATGTTTGATAGTACCTCACCAGATGGTTGATGCACTTGCTATTACAAGATGGGTTGGGTTACTATGAGGATAGTCCCTGACACCTGATAGGCTGATAGTAGAATGCATACATATCAAAATTGCTAGTTCTACAATAATCTGATTAATTTGTTGATTGTGACTGGAATGCATTTGTCTATCAAATTTATTGTGCTTTTTTTTTCTAAGTGCTAACCGTAACATTTGTGATGTACAAATCCACTATAGTTGCAGTCCAATATTATTCACACATTATCTCACCATTAAGAACGTATGGCCTGTCAAATTTTAAGGCTGATATAAGATTCAAAATTTTCACGCGGTTCTGAAATTTTCTTCTCATGTGTGCCTTCTATTCATGATTTCAGGTCAAAGGTAAGGCAGCAATTGATGTGGTCTGCAACCCATTGGGGAAGTCTGGAGGCGCCTTGATCCAGCAGTTCATGATCTTATCATTTGGATCTCTCGCAAATTCTACACCCTACCTGGGAGGAATTCTATTGGTAATTGTTCTTGCCTGGTTGGGTGCTGTAAGGTCCCTTGACTCACAGTTCTCCCCACTGGCAAAGCAAGAGCTTGAGAAGGAGAAAATGCTGAAAGCAAAGACGGTCGAAACAACTGCTCAAGTTGTTGGGTCAGGAAATGGTTCTCTCCAAGAAACTCTAGCCAGTGAGAACTCTGCGAATGGTTCGGCCATCAAAGTGTCTCAGGAACCTGAGAGTACGACCTCGGAGAAGTCTGGTCAACAATCTCAATAAGTTCTTTGCCTTGCAAATTTAGTTAGTATAAGTCTTCCGTGGAATCAAAAGCTGCTTAGTTTGGCCTGCCCTGGGTTGTTGCTGAGGAAAGCAGCAGAGTGGTAAGAAAAATAAGCAGGCCATTTTTTTTGTGTTGTTGTAGCATGTATATTTTGACTTCACCTTGAGAATTGTCTTTAGTTCTTTGCTTGAGAATATCTGTAGCTGTCTGTTGTTCCATCCCATAGATATGAAACTGCCTTTTTGGTAATTACAATTTTGTGGAAATTCCGGTTCCTCAACTCATTTTGCATCTACTAGTGGCCGATGCTTGCAATTTGCAAATGTTTATTTCGTGCTGCAACCTGCAACCTTCAGGAAAGGACCAAAACTTTTCGTCGGATTTTCCAGACTAGGACGTTGTCTGATCTGGAAGTAAACGTTGGAGAAGTTTTTGAATCTTTACAATAGTAGCTATCCATGTTTTTTTTCCGGCCTTGCAACCTTTAAATTTAGCTATACTAGAGTTGTGACATCTATGCTGATGTTTACTACAAGACAAAGTGTTGGTATCAGAACTTCAGAAGACTCGGGCTGCCAGCCAGCGAAGAACTGCCGGAGCCGGTGAGGTCAGCGCAGTCCAATGGTCACCGGCGGTTCCACCTCTCGGTCGACGCCGTCGCCGGCGCTCGCTCCCCTGCCGTCGGCCGCCGTCGTCCCACAACCGCATGATATGCCTCTCATTTGGGCCCGTACATTCGTTAGCGACAGTTCCGTTACGGCCTCACGTCAGATCCGATCCCGTTCTGGCCCAAACAGCATGGGCCAAACGTGAGCCGAAGTTCCATTCCAGTCCAACTAATATGGGCCCGCACGAAAGCTGCGATCCCGTTCTCGAGCCCAATTTAGATGGCCCGCACATGAGTCAAGCTAGTATGGAATAAAGTCTCCTTGGACTATCGTTCTCCTTCAAATGGCATCCCTCAACCACACAACCGGGTATAAAGTCTACCTCAACTATTTAAAACCGGTGTAAATTAACTACTTTGGTGGTTTGCAAGGTGGTTTTGGATGATGTGGCGATTACATGGCATGTTAAACTGGTCTTTATCTGGCGTGACGTCTATACGGCGTTTAAATAGCATCACAGTCAACCCAAAATAAAAAAAAGGGCCCACAAGTAAATCGCTCTTGAAAAAATGTAAAAAAAGACCCATTAAGACCCACGTGTCATTCTCTCTATCTCTCATCACTTCTTCTCACCCCTTATCTCTTCACGAGAGCAAGGACGCACGAGGCGCCCAATGACATGGCAGGCAGTGCATGTTAGCGGCGGTCGGTGGGCTGGTGGCGGAGTGCAAAAGTCGAGGAAGAGGCAGAGGAAGCACGGGCCATCGGCCGCATTGAGCATCTTAGGAAGAGGACGTCGGATAGCGATAGAGAGACGTGGAAGTTTGGGCGTGGCCAACGAAGTAGAGGAGCTTGGGCTAGGTTTGGGCATCTGCGGCCACCCCTCGTCACTAAGCACATAGATGAAGCTGGAGTGCCGCTGACGTGGCCTTTCCAAGCTTCTATTCTCGCCACCAAGGTTTGTTGGTGCCTCCTTCCAATGAGCTCTGCCTTCACCTCCATTGCTGCGAACCCTGGTAGCCAAGGTGCCACTAAGTGTTGCGCAGCTTAAGGAGACAACAATTCAGGAAAGGGGATGGTGTGCTGTCTCAGAGGGGCTCATCGGGGATGATGGTGGATAGGCATGCCAGCTCGGCGGGACTCATCGACGGCGACCCGCGCTGGTTCTGGGGTCGAGATCAAGGACGTCGTCACTCTTGGCACCGGCGTGGAAAATATGAGAGATGAAGATGGAGGGGTAAAGGGAGAGAATACTTACATGTGGGCCCACTATGCGTTTACTAACTTTTATCTGATTGACATGTGGGTCTCATTAAGTTTTTTATTAATTATTTGGCATCATGTAGGAGAAAACCATCGGCCAAACCGCTGAGGGATTCAGTTTTGGTAGTTGTAGTATGTGATGTACCCGGTTTTGTGGTAGAGTAATGTGATTCAACTAAGGGGCAATAGTTGAAGTATGGAAAATAGACCTACTCCAACCTGTATTGAAAGCCGCGATCCTTCCAAACGAGATGGGCCTGATCTTTGATCCGGCCCACGTAGAAAAAACCCACGATCGGAACGGGGACGACGGGGATTGGTCACGAGGGGACACACGGATCTGGATTGTGGATGCCGCCAGCCCACCACCACCATCACCACGCGCGGCGTCAGATCCGACAGCCTCCCCACCCATTCCGCTCGCTCGTCGACTCCTCGTCTCCGCGAGAGAGAGAAAGAGAGAGAGGGGAGGGAGCGGAGGTAAACCCAAAACCCTAGCCCGCGTCGTCGTCGTCGTCGTCGCCGGCGGCGAGATGTCGGCGGCGGTGAACGAGGAGACCTCGGTCTACGTCGGCGGCCTGCCGTACGAGGCCAACGAGGACATGCTCCGCGACGCCTTCGGCCGATTCGGCACCATCGTCTCCGTCAAGGTTCCCTTCCCTACTTCCCACGCCGCGCGCCCCCCACCGCTATCCCGTCCCGCTCTCCCGTCGCAGGGGTTTGCGGCGTTGAGGAGTTTTAGCTGTTGACGGTTGTTTGGTCCGAGCTCCGAGGTCAATCGGCTTGTTTATTTTTTTTTCTAGGGTTTGTTTTGCTGCTGCCCGCTGTGATGTAAAAGCACGCGAGATGTCGCGAGACTCGTTTTGGTGGTCGAGATAGCTGGGTTCAACAAGGGCGTTGTTTGTTTTAGGGTTTTTATTTGGATCTACGTCCTAATGCGAGACATGGAGTGGCTGGGTAATTGGGACTCTGGAGTGAGGGCTCGGGATTTGGTGGGGAGATAGTTGTATTATCTAAAGCGGGAGGGGGGAAATGAAGGTGAATATGTAGTGACATGCTACTTGGTTCAGTCACACAGTCACTTATTTTGCTGCTAAGATGAATAGGGAGGCAAGTAGCTCATATTTCAAATTAGTTTTTAGGGTAAATTTACACTAGAAGGATTCAGGGTTCCCTTTGGATATTAGTTTGGATGCGTTCCTTTTTTTGTGTTATTGGTACTTGATTTAATACCTAGTAGAATGAGAGGTTCAATAATGCAAGTGATAGATGTGGTTATATTGTTTCTGGTTCAAGTGGAGGAGGCATGGCATTACTGCAATGCCAAAGATGGGTTTAAAGTTTTAGTTCCCGAGTTTGCCGATACAATAACAGAAAAGGATTTTTGCTTTGAAGCAGTCAATGCACTATTTTTTCCCTCTTAAAGTAGTTACCTGTCAGATAAGATTCAAATTATGTGAGAGTACAGAGGAATCTCTTTCTGACCTTTGCAGGTGATAAATGATCAGAGAGTCAGAGGCAAGTGTTACGGTTTTGTTACTTTCACTCATGCTGATGCTGCACAGCATGCTATCTCAGGCATGGACGGCAAGGTATGCTCCTATCTGGAACTTAACACCTTTTATTATCTCTTGTATTAATTACATTTTTGTTTGCAACAGAGAATAAATAGACGTGTTGTTAGAGTGAATGAAGTGCGTACTAGAGGTGCCCGAGAATTCGGGCGTGAAGGTTTTCGGCGAGAACCTGGAAGCGCAAGGGATGCTTATTGGGACAGAAGGGATAGAGAAAGGAGCTATGACCGTGACAGAGATCCCTACCATGACAGGGATAGTGATAGATCTCGTGACCGTGATAGAGACAGATTTTACGAACCTAGAGGCTTTGATCAAGAAATTGACTATCCCATGGATCAAGATCATGGGGATGAAAGGCGTAGAGACTACGACCGTGCAGCAGAAATGCATAATGTTGATTCGGATAATGACAGAGAAAAAGAAAACTCTAAAGACTATGATAGTGAAAGAGAGAAAGAAAAGGAGCAGCGATCAAGAAAAAGGTTCAGGTATTATCTTCTCATTGTATTTTAGCTCTGTTAATATTGCTAATCATGCACTTGGGTGGAAATAGATCATGTATATATATATTCTAGGGAAGATATTTGTATTGTGATGAAGGCATGAAGCTTAATTGAAGTTGCAAGGCATCTGAGTTGAATTTCCACAAAAAATATATTTCTGGTTGATGCATGTAATTGTGTCAGAAGGTTGTAATTTCTTTAGTGGTGTTATTTAGTTTTTAGGACTATTGATGTGGCATATTTTTTGATAAATCTGGATAGGATCCTGGTGTCCTTAGTAAAGTTTCAACCACGAAAACCAATTGTTCTATTCTTCTTCTTCTTATTATTATTATTATTTTGCCAACTTACCCAATAATTTATACTGTATATTCATTTTTATCAATAATGTAAATTTGCAATTGTTAATTTACTAATTGACTACTCCCTGAATTTAAAGTTGATGGTCAGTCTTGTCCAAATTTGTTAGAATTTGTGCAGCTGAAATGCTGAATGCACCTTTGTAGTGAGTAGTGACTTGCAGATATATTGAGTCTTGTAAGTTGCTTTTACCTGCATATGTCATCTGTCAGTCTTGATTTCAACTGCAAGTGGCTGATTGTAGATTAAATTGGGTTGACACCTTTGCTATCTCCTAGGGGGTGATGGGGATAGACATTGGCACATTGCAATTAAGTTTACCCCACAGTGATCAAGACTAACAGCACACATACCAACTGAATGGGTTTCACATATTGAGTATGCTGAGGATTTAAAACTGAAATTATCGTATGTGCCTTGTCGCCGTGATTAGCACTTTAAACAAGTGTTCTGCTGGATCTGAACTGAGATATGAAACCATAAATAGCGAGCCTGGATCCAGGGTTGTCTTTCTGTTATCTGCGCAATAAAATAGAGTGTACTTTCGTATGTCATACTTGAAATTTGCCAGCCAAATCTCATTTACTGGTATGACATCTGTTATGTACTTATGTTGGCTGGTGCAAAATTTACAAAGAGCACTGGTGAGTTTCGAGTCTTCATGTAATGTCTACAGTCTATTACCTTCTGCTGTGTCTGCTTTGAAACAAAATTTGTATATGATTAATATTTTTGCTTGCTACCAAGTAGTAGAGAAGTTAGGATTGAGTCATCTCTTTACTTTCCTGACTTCTTCTGTACAGCCGTCCAAAAGATCATGATAGCAGGGATCTATCAGTTTCCAGTGATGATCTTCACAGTGATGTAAATACATCTCTCTTTGTTCTGTTACTTCAAATGGAAATTTGTCTATGAGCTTTTCTAACCATTTATTCTATTGCTTCTAATTTTTGTTGGGTTTCTCATTTCTCCTTTCTTTCTTTTCATGCATTTATCAGGCAAAACGACAGTTGAACAAAGCAATTCAAATGCGCGAGGACCTTGAAAATGAGGTACTCTTTTTCTTTTTCAGCTATGCTCTATTTTATTAGTCATTATTTGGATAATCAAAGCTAGTTCATAAAATCTGAGTCAGCAAAGCTAACATTGTCTCATAAGATACATTTGATGCAACATGCCTAAATTGCTTGAACACCAACAGATAGTCAACTAGGAGCATGCTAGGATTTTGTCACTACTCATGGTGCTAGTGCATTAGACCACATATTTATCTGGCTACTAACTTTAGCATTTACAATTGTTATATAGTGTTCTTTGTTCTGTTTGCTTCTCATATTATGAAAAAATAGTTTGAACGCTGTCCTATTACAGGTTAGTCAGATCAAAGATAAAGTTGCAGCAAAGGAACAACACATTGCAGATTTGCAAAAGAGATCCCAGGTGATCTGTGTATCCTGATACTGGAATCCTTTTTAGCATCTTTCGCACTGTTATTTTTTAAATTTGCAAGTGCTTATCCTTGTCCAATACTCGGGTTTATTTTTTTCTGACAAACTATTTTTAAATACAAAAATACAGAAGTTAGAGGATGAATTGTCTGCTGCACGGAAAGTTTCTTCAGAACGACAATTGGTTGTTACAAAGGTACATGTGGTATTTTGCTCACATGCTAGCTGCTGCTTTATGAAAATAAGCAACGGATAACCAAGACAAATCACATTCTGTACTTTGAAAATATTAAATGCAGCTGTACAAATGTTTTCTGCAACTTCAAGACTACAATGACAGGGTGAAGATGTCTGAAAAGGAGCTCCAGGTTATTTGCTCAACATATGATTTCTTTTGATTCCCTAGAGTACCCTTTATTGAATTTCAGTAATCCTGGGTGCAGTACCTGCATGCTCTTGTAGTCGTGCCCAGAGTCTGTGGAGATACTCATGATTTCATGAAGTAATGCGTTAGCTTAGTTTGTATTTCTTGGGAGTTGTTTGACCTGCTATATAATTGAACTGCTGTCTCTTTCTGTATTACAGTCTCTTATTGACGATGCAATGGGTGAGGTTGACATTGGTGAAGAAGCCACAACCAAAGATGGTTCAATGTATGAGAATGGCGTAGCATGAAAATCTGCACATCACAAAACCGGTATTATTAGTTTATCATGGTGCTAACTTTCCTAGAAGTACAATATACCATGAAGAACTGTAACAAGTGATTCATGTAAGTGAAGGCTAGGAAACCATGTATTAGTCTGCAGATTGTTTAGTGTGAACTTTTGTCGGTGTAGATTATTAGCCCGAGGAATTCTTGCCTGACTTTGACAAGTGATAATGTGTATGCTGTCCGTACCATGCCAACTCGAGCAGTTATCTGACTTTGAAATTTGTCCAGAACCTCTTTGTTTTCTAGAGGTGTCTCTGCATAGGCCACTGGTTTTGGAATGGGTTTCGTATCATCACGTGCGGTCTAAAGCTCTCTTTTTTTTCTTAAGAATAATGTTGTGAACCACTTGAACAGTCTGTGTGCCACTAGCTCCCTGCATAGTTCAACTGGGCTAGTACACCAACACATATTTTTCAACTATTGCACGTCCACGAATGTGTGCCGTAGTGCTATTCCCTTTTCACGTTTCTAGGAGCAGCACAGTTCTTGTACTATGTTTTCTCCAAGCAAAACTACATCAGCAAAAGCTAAAACCGTATGCTCCTATCGTGATGAAAACTATTTTGGAAGACGACTCCGAATCTCCAATGCAGCTGGAAGCAGACTTCGCAATGTTGGTGCAACGTGCACGACACCGGTTCGGCGACCAGAAACTAATGGAAGCGAATTAAGAGGCCGGCAGTGCGAACGAACGAACGGCGGCGGCTCGCCGGCCGCCCGTGAATCCCGTGGCCGTCCGTCACCGTCCCCGTCGAAGCACGACTTCCACGACCAAAACAGTTAAATCTCATCTAAAGCTACTACTATCACATTGTTTTCTCCAGAGAAATTCTCCCACAAATCCTTGAAAAAACAATGGTCGAGTACAACGCAAGAGCTGGCCATCTTTGACCTGACCTGACCAGACAGAAAGGATTAGCATTATTATCATTATATTTTGTTTGCGAGGAAAAGTGTTGTTATTATTAACTGGCCGCAAGCCACTGCTGACTGGTTCAGACTTCAGAGTCCAGAGTTCGTGATGCTCTCGATTGCCACTGGATTCTGACTTTGTTAACTTTGGCAAGCGATATAGTATTATTAACGGAATCGTTAAGAAATTAAATATAAGAAACGTTATCCTTTTCAACGAAGGCTTGAAGATCGGCTATGTCATACAGCTGGTCGTCTAGAAGACGAACCGTGGCCGTCCGATCTGGGGTGGCGACTGACCAGACCTCGCGCACGCCGCCGTTGATTTCTTGTTGCCTGCAGATGAAGTAGTCTACTGTCTACTCCCCCTTCGTAGATGGTCTACCCTGTTTCTCCTTTTGTTTTTGCCGTACAAACCGATCGCCGATCAGTTATTTTGGTGTTCAGTTTGCCTTTTGATCACAGGTGTTCGCTAGCAGGAACAGCAGCTAGGGGAGAGTACAAGAGAGTGAAAAATCAGTTCGCCGGCTTACACATTAGCCCTTGTTTAGTTTCCAACTTTTCCTTCAAACTTTCAACTTTTTCATCACATTAAAACTTTTCTACACATATAAACATTCAACTTTTTTCTTCGAATTTTCAATTTTAATCAAACTTTCAATTTTGGCGTGGAACTAAACACACCCTTAGTTAGCTTGGACCAAGGGTCCTTAGCCTGTACCTTTTCTCTTTCTTTTCGCCATGTACAGTTCTCTTTTTTCTATTTAATAAAAATCAATGAACCCCCTCCAAATATAGATGCTGAGATTTGTAACCTGCGTATTCTTTTGTACTTAATGAAATGATAGGAGAGATGTGCACGCTTCGCAAGAAACATGCATGAATTTTCCTATATATAAATTTCCAAGAAACATATTAAATCCATTGTTAATTTATTTCATTTATTTGTACTCTCGAATAATTGCTAAAAATTATTCAACTATTCATCCATTCAACCATTCGGCACATAAGAGTATTAATTCCAACACATCCAAATTGCATGCTGTAGTTCTCAGGCCCACACTTTTTCCTTTTGTTTTGATCATCACGATATCTGGCAACATTGTCGCTGTTCATGGACGTGATAATCTACATACCAAGCTAGTAGTAATAAACACTACAGCATGCAGCCACTAATTGACGTTTACCTGCATAGCTGACTTCACTCGCACCACTAATACTAAACGCACCCCCTTGCCGTACGCGGGAGGTACCCCAACACCGCGAATCCCGGCGACACGTGGAACAATCCCACCCGCAGATCCTCCCACCAACGGCCACGATGACCCCGATGCCCCCTAGTGCCCGGGTCAGACGAGGCGGACCTGACCCCGAACCGGTCAAGACGTTTCGGCGCGAACCGACCGGCCGGTCAAACTATCCACGCTCGAGACCGCATTAAAAAAATTAAAAAAAATTCGAAACAAGCGGCTGCGTCATGACCAGCGAGCCCGCCATTTCGACTAAATCTAGTAATTAGCTATACTAATCATCAATCACCTCGCTAATCTCCGATTAATATGTAATTAAGAGGCGCGCGTGGGTGGCGAGGTATATATACCACCCCCATCACCGTCTCCTCCAACCAACACAAACCCTCGCTTCTTTCTCGTCATCTTCTCCACTCGAGCAGCAGCAAAAAGCTGCAGCTGCAAGCAAGGGCGGATCGATCGAAGGAGAGATCGGAGTTGAGAGGAGGTGATCGGAGTTGAGAGGAGGTGATCGGAGAAGATGGATATAGTGAGGATGGGGAGCGTGGCGAGCGGCGGCGGGAGCGTGCGGCGGACGGCGTCGTCGTGGAGGGGGACGTCGGGGAGGAGCGACGCGTTCGGGAGGTCGGTGAGGGAGGAGGACGACGAGGAGGCGCTCAAGTGGGCGGCGATCGAGAAGCTCCCGACGTACGACCGGATGCGGAAGGGCATCCTCACCGCCGGCGGCGTGGAGGAGGTGGACATCGGGGGGCTCGGGCTGCAGGAGAGGAGGAACCTCATCGAGCGCCTCGTCCGCACCGCCGAGGAGGACAACGAGCGCTTCCTCCTCAAGCTCCGCGACCGGATGGAGCGGTGAGGCTCAATTCCATTCACTTCCTCTTCTTCTCGATCAAATTCAAATTTCAGACACAAAAGGTGTTCATCATCAGTAGCAACTGAAAGATAGTGGGGGAAAAGTGATCAGTCATGGCTTCTTTTCCTTCTTTGTTTGTCTTTGTTTTTGAGAGTTAATTCTGGGTGGTTTTGAAATTTGAACTTGTGATGATTTGATTTGCAGAGTTGGGATTGACAACCCGACGATTGAAGTGAGGTTTGAGAACCTTAGCATCGACGCGGAGGCATACGTCGGCAACCGGGGAATCCCAACGTTCACCAACTTCTTCTCCAACAAAATCATGGTACGCATTTGGATCATCCATGATCATCATGGAGGAGCTGAAAGAGTTTCCAAGTTCAGATGTTGTTAAGCTCGTCCTGCAGCTTCTGATTCTTGTTGAACTGTTTGGATCATCAGGATGTGCTGAGCGCGATGCGGATCGTTTCGAGCGGGAAGAGGCCTATCTCCATCCTTCATGACATCAGTGGAATCATCAGACCCGGCAGGTGAGGAAAATCAAGAACTGTTCATGTGTCGGATTATCATATTTTGATGAAAGGTTGGAGCTTAATAATGTGAAATTTGTTCAGGATGTCTCTGTTGCTTGGCCCTCCTGGTTCTGGGAAAACCAGCCTGCTCCTAGCTCTGGCAGGGAAACTGGACTCAACACTGAAGGTAACCACATCTTCACATGTTTCTTGTTAATTTCCGAGTATTCCCGTGTTTTCGGACAAAAATTATCACATGGGAAAGATTAGTCGCAAAAGTTGTAACATGGCTGAATTTGAATTTTGAAATGCTCAGGTATCAGGAAGAGTGACTTACAATGGGCATGACATGGACGAATTTGTCCCTCAGAGGACATCGGCTTACATCGGGCAGCATGATCTTCACATCGGCGAGATGACTGTGAGGGAGACACTGGCCTTCTCTGCAAGATGTCAAGGAGTTGGAACTCGTTACGGTACGCAGCATGCTGCACTGAAAGTGCAGAGCAATTTGTTTCGCTTTTGGTGAAGTTATTCTTATGGTGGTTTTGTTATCACGCAGACATGCTTACTGAACTGTCAAGAAGGGAGAAAGAAGCCAGCATTAAACCAGATCCTGATATTGATGTTTACATGAAGGTAAAATGCTAGTTTATTCAAAGCACAAGCCTTCCTTTTTTTTCTTTTTTTTTTTGGAAAAGTATACAAGAAGTGCTCAAATTGTTGTTCCCTTGTGCAAACAGGCCATCTCCGTGGAAGGTCAGGAAAGCGTGGTCACAGATTACATTCTCAAAGTGAGTACAACACACTACAGGAAAATAGAGAAAAAAAGAAGAAATATACATGACTAGAACTAATTAAGTTGCTATTGCAGATTCTGGGTCTGGAAATCTGCGCTGATACAATGGTTGGAGACGCTATGATCAGAGGTATCTCAGGAGGACAAAAGAAACGTGTCACAACTGGTATGTGCAATCTGCAGTCAACAAAGAACTAGGCATGACAGTGTTCTTCGATCATAGTGAAAAAAATCTGACCTCTCAATCCACTGAATTTACGTAGGTGAGATGCTTGTCGGTCCAGCAAAGGCTCTGTTCATGGATGAGATCTCCACCGGTTTGGACAGCTCCACAACATACCAGATCGTCAACTCCCTCAGGCAATCTGTCCACATCTTAGGAGGAACCGCGCTCATCGCGTTGCTTCAGCCTGCACCTGAGACGTATGACCTCTTTGATGACATTGTTCTCCTCTCCGAGGGCCAAATCGTATACCAGGGACCTCGAGAAAACATCCTCGAGTTCTTTGAGGCAATGGGCTTCAAATGTCCGGAGAGGAAAGGTGTTGCAGACTTCTTGCAAGAAGTGAGTGATCCAGCAGAGTAATCTTCCCTGCATGTTGGACTAGGAACTCAAATTTGACAGTGTTCATTCTGAATGCACAGGTTACATCGAGGAAGGATCAGCATCAGTACTGGTGCCGCAGAGATGAACCATACCGGTACATCTCGGTGAACGACTTTTCGGAGGCCTTCAAGGAATTCCATGTTGGGCGTAATCTGGGCTCAGAGCTCAGGGTGCCCTTTGACCGAACCAGGAACCATCCTGCTGCTCTCACAACTTCCAGGTATGGCATCAGCAAGATGGAGCTTACCAAGGCATGCTTCTCGAGGGAGTGGCTGCTGATGAAGAGGAATTCATTTGTTTACATCTTCAAAATTCTCCAGGTATGTATCTCGCATCTTGAATTTTTTCTCTCTACTTCGGGACCATAAATAAAATCTGACGAAAGGTACATCTGTACCAGCTCATAATCCTTGGAAGCATCGGAATGACGGTCTTCCTGCGTACAAAGATGCATCGACGCAGTGTAGAAGATGGTGCGATCTTCCTGGGTGCTATGTTCCTTGGATTAGTCACACATTTGTTCAATGGATTTGCGGAGCTCGCCATGAGCATTGCAAAGCTGCCGATATTCTATAAGCAGAGGGACCTGCTTTTCTATCCATCATGGGCGTATGCATTACCTACATGGGTGCTCAAAATCCCAATATCATTCTTAGAATGTGCTGTGTGGATTTGCATGACATACTATGTCATGGGCTTCGATCCAAACATAGAGAGATTCTTCCGCCATTATGTGCTGCTGGTACTGATCAGCCAGATGGCGTCCGGTCTCTTCCGGCTTCTCGCTGCACTAGGAAGAGAGATGGTTGTTGCAGACACGTTTGGGTCATTTGCTCAGCTTATTCTTCTGGTTCTCGGTGGTTTCTTGATATCTAGAGGTATGCCAAGTAACTCATATATTGTTCCAGTAGTAACAAGAGCATTGTACTGAGTTCTCCTTTTGCAGAAAACATCAAGAAATGGTGGATTTGGGGCTACTGGTCCTCTCCTCTGATGTATGCACAGAATGCCATAGCAGTTAATGAGTTCCTTGGCCACAGCTGGAACAAGGTAATGCAGTGTCTCCTGCACCAACTCAAACCTGACAATCTAAGTTTGGATTTAGATAACTCAGAAGCAACCTAATCTTTGCGCAGGTTGTTGATCCGACACAAAGCAACGACACGCTTGGTGTCCAAGTCCTTAAGGTACGTGGCATATTTGTCGATGCAAACTGGTACTGGATTGGCGTTGGCGCATTACTTGGATACATCATGCTCTTCAACATCCTCTTCATTCTGTTCCTTGAATGGCTTGACCGTGAGTATCATCTCAGCTCTGAAACACATAGATTAGCATATTCAAACATCATTTATTTGGCATTGACACCATATTATGACTGCAGCACTTGGAAAAGGTCAGGCTGTTGTTTCTGAAGAGGAATTGAGGGAAAAACATGTAAACCGTACCGGAGAAAATGTTGAGCTGCTGACTCTTGGAACAGATTCCCAGAATTCACCTTCTGATGGTCAGTCTTTTTAGTACATTCCTCTGTATTATGGCATTGAACAAGATATGCCATTTTGTTGTGTCCTTTTAACAAGTATAGCAAATGCAGGAAGAGGAGAGATTACAGGAGCTGACACCAGGAAGAGAGGAATGGTACTTCCATTTACTCCTCTGTCGATCACCTTCGACAATATCAGATACTCTGTGGATATGCCTCAGGTAAGCAAGCATTGGAAGCCTCCCTGTGTGTAACAAATATACCACCAAATGCTATTATGCTAATCCCGATGCACAATTTTTGACAGGAAATGAAAGATAAAGGTGTTACTGAAGATCGGCTACTGCTGCTGAAAGGTGTAAGCGGAGCTTTCAGGCCAGGAGTCCTTACAGCACTGATGGGTGTTAGCGGAGCTGGTAAAACAACTCTAATGGATGTGCTGGCGGGAAGGAAAACAGGCGGTTACATTGAAGGAGACATCTCCATCTCTGGATACCCAAAGAAGCAAGAGACCTTTGCTCGGATTGCTGGTTACTGTGAGCAAAATGATATCCACTCTCCACATGTCACTGTTTACGAGTCCCTTCTGTACTCAGCATGGCTCCGGTTACCCTCTGAAGTAGACTCAGAAGCAAGAAAGGTTAGTCAAACAGCCTTTACTCTGCTAGCTCATTACACATTTTGCATTGTGATGCTGACTCACTTCACGGATGCAGATGTTTGTGGAAGAAGTCATGGAACTTGTTGAGCTGACATCACTGAGGGGAGCACTGGTGGGACTGCCAGGAGTGAATGGTTTATCCACCGAACAGAGGAAGAGGCTCACTATTGCCGTTGAGCTTGTTGCCAACCCATCCATCATATTCATGGATGAACCAACTTCAGGACTAGATGCAAGGGCAGCTGCAATTGTGATGAGAACAGTTAGAAACACAGTAGACACAGGAAGAACTGTTGTCTGCACAATTCACCAGCCCAGCATTGACATATTTGAAGCTTTTGATGAGGTAAGTTGAAGCAAGGGCCAAAATTGCACAATTCTTGGATGCCTCTCATACGAACACTAACAGGCTATTCTTGAACTTCTGCAGCTGTTTCTGATGAAACGAGGAGGTGAAGAAATATATGTGGGCCCCCTGGGACACAACTCATGCCATCTCATCAATTACTTTGAGGTGAGCCTCGATACTTAAATACTGAAGTGAACACCAAATTTCCAACTTAAGACATGCATGGTAACCTTGCTCGCTGCTCCAAATTTAGGGTATACAAGGAGTGAGGAAAATCAAGGATGGTTACAATCCTGCAACATGGATGTTGGAGGTTACCACCCTAGCCCAAGAAGATATCCTTGGCATCAACTTTGCTGAAGTATACAGGAATTCTGATCTATACCAGTATGTTTCATGACAAAAGCCCCCCAAAATGTTCTTTTTCTGCTTTTTCTGTGTTATATCACTGATTCAATTGCACCATTGCAGGAGGAATAAAACATTGATAAGTGAATTAAGCACACCTCCACCTGGATCAACGGACCTACACTTCCCAACTCAATTTTCACAGCCCTTCTTCACACAATGCATGGCTTGCCTGTGGAAGCAGCACAAATCATACTGGAGAAATCCGTCGTATACAGCAACTAGAATCTTCTTCACAACAGTTATAGCCCTCATTTTCGGCACTATATTCTTGAACCTAGGGAAGAAAATGTAAGTATCTTTGCTAACAAACCCAATTAACTTGATCTATGTTGGCATGTTGTGAGAAAGAAACTTACCTGTGCTTATCTTGCCTACAGAAACAAGAGATTGGATCTGTTCAACTCTTTGGGATCCATGTATGCAGCAGTCCTTTTCATTGGAATTCAAAACGGCCAGACTGTCCAACCAATTGTAGACGTTGAGCGAACAGTGTTCTACCGAGAAAAGGCCGCTGGAATGTACTCCGCTCTACCATATGCATTTGCGCAGGTAAATGGTCATAGCTGCATATTTAAACAAAAAACAATTGCAGTGTGCTTCCTTTATTATACGGAAAAAAATCTAACAATTTATCCTTTCAACAGGTTCTTATTGAGATACCACACATCTTCCTCCAGACTGTCGTGTATGGTCTGATCGTCTACAGCCTGATTGGCTTTGACTGGACAGTTGAAAAATTCTTCTGGTACATGTTCTTCATGTTCTTCACCTTCATGTACTTCACATTCTATGGGATGATGGCAGTCGCCATGACACCAAACAGCGACATTGCTGCCATAGTCTCTACTGCATTCTATTGCATATGGAATATCTTTGCCGGCTTCCTAATCCCCCGACCAGTAAGTATCTGATATTCATTCATTGTCCATACCAACCTTTAAGTCTTTTTTCTATACTGTTGATGCTGAAATATACATGGCTGGTTTGCAGAGGATACCAATATGGTGGAGGTGGTATTCCTGGGCATGCCCAGTGGCATGGACACTGTACGGACTTGTTGCCTCACAATATGGTGATATCACAAACTCTACACTGGAGGACGGGGAAGTGGTGCAAGATTACATCAGACGATACTTTGGGTTTAGGCATGACTACTTAGGTTATGTAGCAACTGCCGTTGTTGGGTTTGCTGCTCTCTTCGCGTTCGTCTTTGCCTTCTCCATCAAAGTCTTCAATTTCCAAAGAAGATAAGAGCACCATCTCATCTTGATTCAAGTTTGGATAAGTTTGCTGTTGAGTACTGGCACACAGCACTGTAAATGAGGAGAGAATGTATTCAGTATTTGTTTCATTCGTAGGCAATTGACATCTCTATCTGTTCAGTTTGGCATTTATCAAACAGATAAGAGGCATGTATGTAAACTGTAAAAATATGCAATAGTTCCATGATGTAATTTTTTCCATAATATTGTCAAGTATTTGTTCAATTGAATCTCACTGCCTTCAAAAAGCAGCAAATGAAACATTAATGTGAAAAAAAAAAGATGGCACTGCTATATAATGCTGAAAACAGTAGAAACTTTAGAAATCTACTACAAACACTAGCATTAGGAACTGATATAATCAATAATTCAAGATTGCTGATGATGTTGTGTGTTCAGCATATAATTAATAATTTACGATTATTGTGATAACATATTACCATTTGGATTAAAAATAACCTTGATGCGAATTTTAAATGAGACGTGACTCACATTTCTAGACAGCAGGACAGCAAAAGTATTGACAACCAAAGACAAATTCAGATATCCAACTATTGAAGCTTCTAAGGTGTGCCATATATTTAACTATTGGATAATTTGGGAGGCTTAAAGAATATCGATAAAGGTTTGCAATTTTGCATAAGAAACGAATTTTATAGTCAAGACTGATTGTCATATGAAAATAACATTCCAAAAGCAAACTATACTTTGAGACAAAGTTTTAAACAGACATCCAGCAAGGACAGGCCAGATTGTCATATAAAAATAACATTCCAAAAGCAACTATACTTCGACACAAACTTTTGAACAGACATCCAGCAAACCTCTGGTTTACAAGAATGTACAGAGCATGGACTGCATCAGGGATTATTGCAGTCATATTCACAAAATAACTTGTGCCATTTATTGAGCGGCCTTTGTCTGTCAATCAATTTGGCCCAACCAAGGGAAAGAAAGATGACTGTTCAACAACTATATTGCACATTTCAACATGTGATAGTTTCTCTTAGGCAAAAAAACAACATGGCCTAGTTGCTTAAAAACCGGGGGAGGGGGGACTTCTCTATACAAAAGTATGGCATTGTTAACTAACAATAAGTCGAAAACAGATCCATAGAATCGATAGTCAACTTTTTTTTTTGCAGCAATATCGATGGTTAACTGACTGTGAGAAATAAATTGTTGATTTAGATTAGTCGTTGTTTTCACGAAACAATGTAATCCTCCAAAATTGACATTGGACTCTTGGTAATCCTCGGAAGATTTTGTCAAAATTGCCAAAGTGTTCCACAACAAAAGCACAAGTGGAAATGGTGATAAACAGCAATCGCACCACCAAATTCAGCGCAACTCAGAAATCCCCAAACAATTCCCCTCCAGCCGCACTAGCTCAGGTACAGAAACAGGCACATTTTGCAGGGGATCATCCAACTACCCAGCACTAAACAATCGATGGAAGTACAGATCAACAAGATCGCCTCCCACATTCATACAGCAACTATAGACTGGTAATTCGCGATGGCAACATACACCCGCAGGAAGATTAGGCGCGGGATGGATCTGACTCTGAGGAGAAGTAGGGTTACAGGATCGTTACCCAGAGCCACGCCGACCAAGCGCCGGAGTAACGCGGGCGGCGGCGGCCACGATCCGCCCGTGGGCCGGCCGCCGGATCGGCATCGCCGCCGGTCAGCGCGGTCGCGGGGCACCTCGGATTTCGCGCCTGGGTTGGGTTCAGATTTCAGGGCTTTTAAGTACTCATAGTTTAATTTAATTAGAGAAAATTATAAAAAAAAAATATAGTGTGGCATGTATAAAAAAAGTTTAATTTAATTAGATAAAATTATAAAAAAATATAGCTGGACTCATAGTGTGACAGATAGAATTTTAGTATAACAGACAAAATTGAGTACATATAAACTTTTCAATTTTCCCCTTTCTGACAAAAAAAAATATCTTTAATGATCTAACCACCGTTGGATAAGAAATAGGCGTGGGATCACTCTCAGGCCTGTTTGGGGAGTTTAAGATTTTGAGAAACAACTGGTTGGCAGCCAGTTTCTGAGAATATGAAAAAGATGGGTTTTTCAACTTCTGACTTCTAGTTCACTTTCTAGATTATACAACTACGGCTTCTCATAATGTGGACCAAAAACTAAACTGTATAGGGGAGCTTCTAATTCTGAGAGAAGCTATAACAACGAGAAGCTCCCCAGTCTCCCCGACCCCAACTTAGCATAAGAGCTTTTTGCTCTTGTCCATTTCTTTACACATCCATCGATTATCCTATGATGGATTAATTGTTTCACATCTCTCAAAATACATTTCACCCAAAAAAATAATCTTTTGTTTATACCAATTGTTTTAAGCTATTTTTAAAATTTATCTGTACAATAAAGTAAATCGTTGCAATAACCTGCTGAAAATTTGTTTCAAATTTTAGAGCTTTTTCCAAATTTGAATTGGAGAATTTTTTTTATAACATTTGAACATTTTTTTTCATTTTCTCCTTTGCTTTCTATTCTCGCAATGCAAAACTGAAGATAGGGAGAAAGAAAAGAAAGGCAAAAATAATTCATCACAAACAAGATGCCTTCATGATCCACTGAACTCTACAGTTATTTAGTTCTGCATATCTTCCCGTCTAATCTGAACTTCTGTGTATCAGTTTATGCAAGCAGAAGAAATAACTGGATAACTGCAACATGAATCACCTACACTTATGTTTACACAAGAATTTGTACTACAACAATGAACTGACATGAAAAATCAGAAATCCAGCTTACAAACTTACAACCACAATCCACCTGCAATTCACTCGCTCACTCATAGTCACAGCATGGAGTACATAACTATTAGCTAGCTCACCACGGTTAACGCATAGTTAACACACAAATTAAAACCGAGAAGAATCACACCAAGCTAGCCTTTTATTATTTCGACGAACAATTCGCTAACAAATCCAGGAAATCGATCTTGATCTCTATCAGTTGTCCTTCTTGCAGCAGCAGCAGAAGCACTCGAGGCAGTGCTCGCAGGTTTCGTAGCAGCAGAAGCAGCAGCACAGCATGAACAAGCTGCAAAAAAGGAAAAAAAAAATAAATCCGACACCCAAATTAACGGCAACCAATTAATCATCATGTATGCATGTGTGATTGTTCTTGCAGTGCCACATCGTTGCAGATGCAGTCTGATACAGAGTTCACATGCTGAGATGCATTCAGAAGTTCAGAGTTCAGAGCTAAAGCACTGGTACTGAACTGAAGCTACTGCATGCAGCAAGAACTTGCAGTATGATCATGCATGCAGATGCAGAGTGTTGTGTTTCTGTACAAACCAGGCATAGAGGAAGCCCTTCTCTTCATGGCGTTTCTTGACATGCTCCATGGCCGACAGCTTCTGGTCACCGCCCTGCGATGGTTCGTCCATCGTCGTCGTCAATCGATGCTTGATTATTCGCGGTGAACAGCGAGGAGAATCGCAAAACTGAGATACTTCAAACTAAAGATGGAGAGGTGATGAGCAATGGTGTGGCTTGTTCTTGCTCCTGTGTTCTAGTGTGGTATATAAGGAGAAGGGAAGAGAAAGGCTGGCTAGGCTAGAGGCCTAGAGCTCTACCTAACCCCTTGCAATCTTCAGAATTCAGAGCAGACTGTTTCAGTTAACAGCTACTGATAGTGCACCATTGTTTAATTATTTCTCTTTTGATTTGTGTACTAATACGATCGCGTCGTGGTCATCGTGTTCCCCACCAATTTTCAGCTAGAAAAGGAGCATATATAGCTAGGATTAGGAGATGCCTCTGAAGATGCTCTGAACTGTTACTGTGATAGTGATGCTGATGGTTTGATGGATATGGCTAACCCCTTCGGATGCTTCAGTTGCTGCAGCAGTGATCTGCATTGGTTCTTGCAACAGATGGGACTAAAACAGTGTATGTTGAACAATGCAACATTGGTTTGAAACTGCAAAAGAAGTGTCCATTAGTTCTTGTATGGAAGGGACTCAACACCAAAATACAAAGCCAATACGACCGCATTCAGTGCACCATTTTTTTTCTCCATCAACTTCTTTTTAGAAACATAGTATGAATGTAGGTGCCCATAACGTGCGCACACTCATCCCTATAAACGCACACACACCCTATCCATATGAGCACCTCCGGAAGACTAAGTCAACGTATCTTGAGATTAACAAAGTTACCACAGACGCATCGCTGTTGATAGGTACATGGTCTATTACTAAAAGAATAATTAACCGTAAATGCGAGCACCCGTGTCAAATCTAGGATTTGAACCCAGGTGGACTGGTTCCACCACAAGGAACCTAGCCATCTTCGGAATGTAGGAATTTTACAGAATTTTCACAGGACAGTTCAATTCCTCCAAAATTCTCGCGTAAATCCTCCAAACCGAATAGGCCCTTAGATAGTAACTGTAGTGCTTCAGTTTGGTGTATCAAATATTTAACAGTAAAAAAAAGTAGTAATTGTAGTCAAATATTTTACAGGCTTAAGATTCAGCTTCTGAAGATTAATGTGTAAGAAGATGTGCAGAGGTAGAAAAACTACTTTTGAAAAAAGTATATATACTCCTATATCATATCACAGATTTTGCATTCATACTGACTCCAAAATATAATAATATATGGTTTATGGGAATGTAAAGATGCAGGCTAATATATATCTGCAGTTAGTGCGAAAACATATCAATTTCAGACCATAAAAGTGGCTAGCCCTTATCCTTCCATTGATCCATTCAGGTGCAGATTTTAGATTAGTTAGACTGTTCTAAACTTCTAATAATTCATCAATCACAATCCATGGTTAATATTCATTAAGGTGACCTGCCACCGAATTAGTGATAGCTCATTGGTATCATATCCAAGCAAAATGAACCACAGTTCAATTAATCTCTTTAAACCAGGCGTGCATGATTCAAAGTTAGAGATAGAATAGCTCAATTGAAGTTGAATTTACATACCGATTGTAAATATTATTTTGACATTTTCAGAAGATGTTGTTTTCAGTGACTCATTGTTTATGCCCCAGCATCCAATAATCCATATATTGGATGTAAACATCATCTCAATGGCACATCAAGCACTATGGGGCAATGTGTCACACAATTAGAGGTTTGAAGCAACCAATCATATGGCAAATCAGTTCTTTTTTTCCATAAGATGATCTGAGTTCGGAGAATATATATCTTTTGCATCAGCATATCCCGTTCAGGCGTTCGCCAACTGAGAATATTTGATTGCAGATTATCTTTATATTACTATTTTTTTTGTCAGAGTACGTTGAACTGGCAATAGTAGCTAAGTCTTTCCTTGGAAGTTTTCTACAAGATTTTCATAGGAATTGCATCATCCCATACAAAAGCATTAAGCAACTCCCATCAAGCTGTTCTTGCAAATACTTGAAATCGTCTTACCGAATTCCTGAACTACATGATTTAAGCAGATAATTCTAAATATAAATTTCTTTTTTTTAGAGAGTTAGTGGTTTTGTAAACACCAGTTATTTTTTACAAGTTACAAACATGAATTCTACTGTCAAGCTTTTGATCAGGAAAGCATAAACAGAGTTAAACAGCACAGCCATGGTTGGAAACCTAATGTATAGATTAGCATCTTTGGATATCAGGGTATCAGGTGATCAGGGAACAGAATTCCAAGTGTCCCTGTCCTGTCCTTTTGAAGCTCATCATCCAAGCTGATTGATTTGGAGAGACAATTGAGCTACTTAACAGTATGTAGTAAGTTTGGATGGATTCTGGAGTTGATTGGTGGAGAGGAGGCCTTACCAGGAACAGCTACTACATTGGGCCAGTGTATTCTTATCCTTCTACACAGTGATGATGCCTGGAAATAGTTTGCAGGACACAATTTGGAACTAGAGCAATTCTACTGTCCTTGAGGAGGTATCATGAGGTATCAAAATTTACACTTAAATTTTGGTACCTCATGATACCTCGCAGTACCTAGGTACCATGAGGTACCAAATTTACAATAGAAAAAACGGTACTTCATGGTACCTCCTTAAGGACCGTAAAATTACTCTTGGAACTATAATACAGAGATGTTTCAACAGTATGATTCCTAAAATCTAACAACAGAACAAACACAAGATATATATTTTTATGAGCACATGGAGAGAGAAAATAATTTGTTAGGATTGCATGTCCAACATAGAAAAGGAGATCCATTGTATGGGCGGATTTTTGGATGATCCGTGGGCTCCGAAAATCCTAAGATGATTTTATGGGGGCTGGAACATATAAATTTTACAGGATTTTTCATGTGAATCAATTCAACACCCTTGAAAATACTATAAAATTTGTTTCTTCCAAGGAGTGTCTAGATCTTGTAAATATCATGCGTTAGAGAGGAAGCAGTGATTAGACTAAGCGCTGGTTTGGATGGTGCCATTTTTTCCCCCTACAATATGAAGATTTGCTTCTTTCTAAAAGCATCTATTCTAGGGGTGTAAGTGGGTTTACCCGCGAAACCACTTATAGGCAAAAATAGTGCGTAACCCGCCGGTTTGACTAGCGGGTTAACTATGAATTTGACTTATAAATTGGTTTATAGATCGATCCACTTGTATATTTAAATGCGGCAAGCCGGACCGCGACGCGAAAAACCATAAATTATTATTTATTTAAACTCACGGATCGGTCCGCTTGCACCCCTAAGATTCTATCCTACCAAATTTGCTACTACAGGCCTATTTGGTAGAGCTATATGAAGCTAGGAAAGTGGTTTCACCCCTCCTAGTATGTACTTTGTGGGGTGAATCCTTCACTTTAATTTGTAAAAGTAAAGATCTATAGGCTCCAACTCCACCAGAGAGGATCTGAGAGCCAGTGTCCTATCAAATGGACCTTTACTATTGTGCCAAAGGTTCAGGGCACAGCCACAAACCACAAACCACAACAAGAGGCCCAAACCACAAAATCACGTCCCATCGAACACATGATAAAGCGGAAATAAGTCTATTGTGCCTCTCTCATGTCTTGCTCCTGATTAAATCGCCTCCCTTAACCGGCAACTGCTAAACTGGATATAACACATCCTCCATCTTGAAAAACCGGTGAAAATCAACTCCTTCAACGGTTTGCAAAGTGGTTTCTGCTGACATGGTACGTTGATCGAGGTTGATTCACCGAGTAAGTAGCGGGACCCACATGTCATCCTCATCTCATCACCATCACCTCTCCCCTCCCCCATCTCTCTTTCTCCAGGCGTCAGTTCTCGTACCGTTAAAGGAGTCGATTTATACCGATTTCCGTTGATGGGAGAGATGTCATAGTTATACTCAGTTTTACGGTGTGGGGGGGGGGGGGGAGACAATTCGATTTGGAGCTAGAGAAACGGAGTCAACAATAGACTTGTTCCCACAAAAGGCCCCAATGTAGACACGGCCCAACACGAGAAACACCCGCACCCGCACCGCACGCGACGTGGGTAGGAAGGAGACGGATGACGGGAGATGAGTCGCGACTTGCGACGTTGGTGGCGGCCTCACCCCACTCACCCAGTCATCACCCACCTCATCCATCCATCCACCACGCAGCAGCCGTTCACCTCACCACCTCGCGCGGCGACGAGACGAGACGAACCAAATGGAAACCCGAAGCGCACAATCCGTGACCTCTGCCCCTGCCCATAGCTAACCCTAAACCCCCAAATCGAATCCCCCACCTTCCCCGCAAATCTCCCAACCCCCCCCCCCCCTTCCCTCTCGCCGCCGTCGCCGTCGCCGCCCGGCGCCTAGGTAAAAGTGGATCCCTCTTCCGCCGGGCGCTTCTGAGCTCCAGATGATTCGTGCGATCGATGCGTGTAGTTCTTTTTTTTTTTTGTCGGCGTGTTTGCTTCGTGATTGCCGCGGCTCGGTGTGAGCGAGGGATTTGTTCGTTGGGTTTGAGTGATTGGGATCGTCGGATACGTGGAGGGAGACGTTTAGGGTTTGGTTGGGTTGGGTCTGCGCTGCCGGGGGGGATTCGTCTACGGAGCGAGGTTATCGTCCCTTCTCTGGGCGTTGTGCCCTTTTAGATTTGATGATGATGGTTGGGTGTTCCTTGATATTGGTTCGATGTAGACGAATGTTATAGCTCTAGGGTTTGCTTTGTTAAGCTGTATTGAGATCTGTTAGTGTTACTTCATTCACATGCCTCCTATTTTCACTGCTATCACCGCCTGGTGCATTTCCTAGCAATTGCTAATCAAACGTTAATTCATTTCTTCACTCTAGGTCAATGCGCTGTGGAGGATTATGTTTTACTGTATGCGTATGAACAGCCATGTTGGCATTTTGTTGTATCACGATTGTATTCTGGATTGTTTTTCTTTTTACTGTTAGACTATTGTTGTGTTAATCTAGAACTGATTAATGCGGACACCTCTTCAGAATACTTATCATGAATGGAATCTGTGTGCGTACTTTTCTAATAAATTCAATTTTCCACCATAATAATATTCATACTCATGTGGGATGTATCATTTTTACATAGGGATTGCTTTTTTACGAAATTCTAATTCAATATTTTTTTTAATTCTTAAATCTATGTATACTGGCCCAGGGAGCATCTATTTTGATGTCCTCCACAGTTTGTATTTACTCCTTTCCCGTTTACGGTTCTAAGACCTCCATTGCTTCATATCTATTTCAGATATATGTATTAACTGTTCTAAGCAACACAACTATTTCTCGTCAAGGATCTTGGGAGTTTTTGAAATAGTTGCATAATGGAGTTGTCAAATCAAGGGCAGACACCCATGTCAACTAACATGGGTTCTCAACCATTGCCTTCTTCAAATATTCAACCTAATCAGGCTGAGTATCCGTCTATGTTTTATCCATCTTTGCCTGCTGACTGGGGTGCACAGCCAATGTTTTCTATGGGAGCTTCTGTTCCAATTAGTTCGTATTTTATTGTTCCTATGAGTCAACAATCGGTCCAAATTGGTGCTTCTAGGCCAGAGACTCCGCGTTCTTCAGGGGCACATTCTCTAAGCAGAGTATCATTGAGGCCACCCCAGCAAGTGCTAAGTATTCGAACATCTTTGCCAACAATGGTTGGATCACAACACTCTCCTGCTGGCAAGAAACTGCAACCGACAATTGCTTCTCCAAAGGTTCAAATACTGAAATCTACACAGTCACAGTCATCGAACAAACGTTCTGCACAGAAGGAGACACCATCAAAGGTTCAAACTCAGCAATTGGAATCTGTGAGATCAAAGTTCAGGGAGTCACTTTCTGCTGCTCTGAGAACAGATTCTGATCAGAGTAAGAATCAATCTTCTGATGTGCAGCCTGATGGGTCTGCAGACCAAAAGAAAGAGATGGATGTAGATGCAGATCAAGTGGCCACCACATCCCAAGGCATGAGTGCAGCCAAGTCGGAAGTATTGACAAGTGTTGGTGCTGAGAGGCGTGCTGAAGATGAGAAGTTAAACAGTGATTTAGTTTCGAACATAGCCACACCATTAAACGCGGACATCCAGCAACAACCAGAGAATGCTTCTTTACAAGATGAAATGTTGGGACAATATACAGTTGTTGCTGATGAACTCTTGCAAGGTCATGGACTTTGTTGGGTTTCTGACTTTGATGCTGGGGTTCCTGAACCTGCCACACAACCTAATTTAAAAAGGTCCAGGGCTTCTGACATTGACCCTGTTGTTGCAGACACTCTCTCAGAATCTGAGTCCAAAAGAATGAAGTCTGCCAATGATGAGGAAGCGATAGATAAGGATAGCATTATTCAGAAGGCAGATGATTTAGCAGTTAGGGTTGAAGAGGAGCTGTTCAAACTATTTGGTGGAGTTAATAAGAAGTATAAGGAGAAAGGTAGATCTCTTCTATTTAATCTAAAAGATAAAAGTAATCCTGAGTTAAGAGAGAGGGTATTGTCTGGAGATATTACACCTGATCGCCTCTGTTCAATGACTGCGGAGGAACTTGCTTCCAAGGAGCTATCGGAGTGGCGGTTAGCTAAAGCTGAAGAACTAGCACAAATGGTTGTCCTTCCTAGTACCGAGGTTGATGTTAGACGTTTGGTTAGGAAAACACACAAAGGAGAATTTCAAGTTGAAGTAGAAGAAACAGATGGTATCTCAGTGGAGGTTGAGCTTGGAGGTAATCTTCTTACTCAAGTTCCATCAAAAGCCCCTGAAGATCAGACCAAATCAGACGATAAAGAAAGTACAGATGATAAAACAGGCATACAAGACAATGACAAGGCACCTGATGGGACTTCACAAGATGAAGATAATGGGGCAGGCAAGAACGATCCACAAGATGATTTAGAATATGTTGATAATGAGAAAAGTGACCTTATGCAAGAACTTATGGTGGATGACTTGAAAGACACTGAAAACCTTCCACCGATCCCTTCACTAGATGAATTCATGCAAGGTTTAGATTCTGAACCACCTTTTGAAAATCTCTCAGCTGGGACGCCAGAAGAAGATTCAGATGATCGAGACGAAGCTGACACTACTGCAGAATCTGCGGAACTTCCTGAGGAAGAAGTTAAAGTTTCTGCAGCAGAGAAGATTGTATCTGAAGCTGACCTGCCATCTTCGCAGGATAAATCTGAGTCCAAGTTAGAGTCACCCAAAGATGAGGTGGGTTCAAATTTGGGCCCTGTTGAGCAGCGTGAAGGAAAGCTGATAAAATCCTCCCCAGATAGTGTTGAAGTCAAACAAACAACTACTGAAAATGTGCTGAATCGTGACTCTACTGTGCATAATATGGCAACTACTCTTCCTATGATACGTGAAAGTATATGGGAGGGTGCAATTCAACTTACCATGTCTTCGCTCACAAATGTCGTTGCCATCTTCAAAAGGTTTGTTTCATCTGCAGCCTTTTCCTTTGAATTACCAATATACAATCGTTTCTGTTAGCATACCATGATGATTTGACACATTCTCTTCGATGCCTTTGTCTTAGTTTTAATTTATTAAAAGCAGATTAGTGCTTTACAGAACACGTACATCTTCTTTTGCACAAAGCTTTTACTGAACTGTATTCTGCAATTTCATCTTCTACATTGTATTCGCTTGGTCGTATTTTGGAAATTGATTGTCTGTTCCTTCAGAAAGATACTTGTTGAACTATATGGCATATGCACTCCTTGGCAAAACACACACACAACTTGCATATGTCCAAGACTCGTATGATAACTTTATTTATTTATACTCCAACTATTCTGTCCTGGTCTTAAGCTTGAGTAAGAATGATAAGTTTGGGAGGCAATAAAAGCATAAATCGCCATCACTGGTCATTAAGTAAGGGTCAATGAAATTGGGGGGCTTTCGTTGAAGATCTCAGTTCTTTCGCGCCTCAGGCAAGTGAGTTATGGAAGTCTTTCTTCCTCATCTGGTGAAGCTAGCTGCTGTTGTTTGATTCCTTGTTTCTATTGGTTTCTCAAGAGGCTCAAGGTCTTGCTCTACCTAAATTACTTTAGGTTTAGAAGCTAGACATCTAGCATCAAATTAAGTAATAAGTAAAAACTGATAGCTCATGGCATGCAAGTATATAAATATATCTTCATGTGAGAACTGCTAAGAGTAATAATTTATAATTAGCAAGCACTGCCAAATGTGACATGCTTCAGTGTACTTCTCTTGATTCCGCAGAGAGTGCATTAAGTAGGTGTATGTCATTGAGGGTCCAGCTTGGCTACTTCACCTCTTTCTGATGGGAACTTGTATACTTGTGTATTTGTTCGATTTATGTCTTGTTAGTTAATACTGATCTAAATCATCCCTTTTGCAAAGTTTGCTGATTTAATTAATGTTGATAACAATTTACAACTGGTTCTTCATTGTTGTGGCCCAGAATGCCCTGCTACTGTCCAAGTACACATGATCCACTCTACCTGAAAGATAGTGTTGATATGTGTTTATTCTGTATTTTATTTTTGTATTTGTGATGACATGTATTAAAATTTCACTTTGCAGTGGTGAAAAGCCACCAGTAAAAGAATGGCGGAGCTTTGTTGAAATCAAGGGGAGAGTCAAACTTAGTGCCTTTCAAGAGTTTGTTGAACAGCTTCCCAAATCTAGGAGCCGTGCTATAATGGTAATCTTGCATTTTTCCTGTTGAAAACTAACTAATATGTTTAAATGTCTGAGGTCTGGGTCAGGATGTTTGAAAAATGTTGGTACTTATATGCTAAATTTGCCAAGAAAACAAAAAGCTATGAATTGGAGCATGTGTCAGCCAGAAAAGAAAACAATTGTTACAGACAAAAAAAACAACTCTTGACATGATCTCTTGCATGTATTTTAAGTCTTAACTTTTGAAATGCTTCTTATGATTGTATGCTTAGCATCTAGAAGTATCACTCTGTTTGGGAGTTGTTACTCGATCTATCCTTTATTTAACTAAATGCCTCAAACTATAGTTAGTGCGCTTTTGTCATCACAGATTATGGTTCATGCTGGTGTTGATAGGATAGTAATTGAATATGTCCAACTTTGTTCATAGGTAACTGAGTTGTGTTGGAAGGAAGGTTCTCATGAGAGTGGTCGCCAACATCTCTTGCAGGTTTTTCTATCGTAGCCCTTTTTCTTTCAGAGAAAGACCTTCCTTCAGGAGCTAGCTTAATGAATGTTTGTGGATTTGATCATTAAATTTGTCTATTCTTCTGCAGACAATTGACTCGTATATTTCAGATGAAAGAGTAGGGTTAGCTGAACCTGCAGATGGAATAGAGCTGTACCTGTGCCCTTCTCAAGGGAAAACTGTGGAGATTCTCTCTCGGCACCTGCCAAAGGAGCATTTGGAGAGTCTTGCTGTGTCAGCATCCTCCATCATCGGGGTCATCGTCTGGCGGAGGCCCAACGTTCCCAGGATGCCGGCACACCCTAGGCATGATGGTTCCCGGAGGCCGTCGATTTTAAAGAAACCGCAGGTTACTGGTTCTACTCCAGGCCCTAGGCCCTCCCTGCCTATGAGCTCGCACGGCGCGCCGCCGGGTTTTCCAGTTCAGCGTCACCGCCACGAGGAAGATGTAACTGATGATGTCCCTCCGGGCTTTGGCCCTGGTGTTGCTAGGGATGAAGACGATCTTCCTGAATTTAATTTTGTTAACTCGTCCAATCCTGCTGCTAATGTAACAACCACCCAGGCCTACAAGGGCCGGCAGCATGTACCCCTTACCTCTGCTCGCCCGGTAGAGCAAATGAGGGAACTGGTTCAGAAGTATGGTAAAAGATCATCTGTTCAGGCTCGTCCTTGGGATGATGATGACGACGATGATATACCAGAATGGAACCCCAACCAGCTTGTCACCCAACAACAGCCAACAAGGCAGCTCCCAGTTCCACCCACACCACAGCAACCGCTGCCTCCACCACCACCACCGCCCTCGCTTCAGCAATTGCATCATCCCTACCAGCATCAGCAGCAGCAGCAGCAGCAGCTTTACCACCACCAAAATGCATTGCAACCTCAGATACCCAGCAACTCTATCCCCCAGGCTTACCTCCGAACCCAGCAACCATTGCAGCAACTTCCTCTGATGCAGCAGCAGCTTCAGCCAGCGCAAGCCTGGCAGCAGACCAATGCTTGGTGGCCGGCGCAGGGCGGCGCCGCCGCCGCCGCTGCGCCGGCGAGCATGGTGCAGCAGTCGCAGTATGGTGTGATACCCAACAGTAATAACAGCGCGCAAAGCTATGGTTCTGGGAGTGTGGGTGGAATGGCATGGAGACCGAGATAGAACCTGTAAAACCTTGAAATTTATGCTGGTTTTACAACCTGCGAGCGTCCGTTGTAGGGTGGCTTCTCTCTTTCTCTCTTTTAGTTCAGCGATTCAATGTAAGCATGAGTCAGTCGTGTACACCCGTACAGGGGATGTAATCTGGATAAACTAGAGATAGTTGTGGGTTGTATTCATAATCGTAGGAAAAGAAATTTTAAATCTTCGTTTCGAACAATAGCTCCTCTCTTCGAACCAATCTGTTCGTAGACACTTCGAATAATTGATTAAACGATAATAATGTAATGCAAAGCAGAATCTGCTTGGTTTAAATTGTCAAATTGTCAGGTGGCATTCGGTGCACTAGTGGAAATTGCAAAGCGACTATTGACTTGCCAGAAGAATTTGTGGTCTCACCTTTTTCGTATCATGAATGATGTTGATGTTGGGACAATGCATGCGGTAGTACAGTGCGCTACCATTTCTGGACCTTCCCATCTATGGCAATGCTTTGGTTTTTCCCCATCCTATTAAGTGGTAGATTCTTTTCTTTTCTTTTTTTTCTTTGAGGGGAGATTCTCTTGTTTTATTGAAGTACCATAATGTTCGTGTGTTACCAAAAAAAAGAGAAAAAAAAGAAAATTCATTCCTCTACTTAGAAACTCTACATATATATTTTTAATTATATCATGTTAGAGATTTAATCAAAAATTACTTTTAAAAATGTCAACATTGTTAAATATTTGGATTGAACGCATAAATATCAAGCGTGCAAATTTATCTCAAGCATATTTTTATTATATTCAATTTTATCAGAACTTTTAAATATATTTTAGTACCAATATTTGCTAAAGTATTCTCTAAAGACTATGCCAGTATCTATGCTCACAACATTCTGCGATACCACACCATACCAGATAGTCTGATAGATCATTTCGCAATAAAGAAAATTTTGAACTCATTATAAACATAAATTTGTGCTTGTGGGAATCCCCTAGCGAACACTGCTGAAAGCAAAGATGAACGATACATGTTTTTCTTGTGTATATGAAAGTGTTAACTAAACAGAACAGAAAGGGGGAAATGTTTATTTAAGCTTTATATTCTTCTAATTTATTTCTCCTGCACGATTCTATGAGGGACAGCATGAACAAGATTTTCTCTGATTCAGAGACTAATTAGGCATAAAATAAATTCTGCTCTTTATCTTAGGTATGTAAATTGGTATGTGGCTCATGTGTCCAGCTGTCCACCCTTAAGATGTATGTGTCCTAATTATTTTTCCTCCAACTCACTCTGGTTTAATTAATTACTTGTACGTTTGCTCTCTAGGAATCGGGGAGTGAAGATGATGACCTTGATGTTGGTATAGGTGATGTACCATCTGAGCTTGAGGTTAAGAATTCTGGTCTAATACCTGCACAATCTAAAGAGACAGAAAGGCAGCTTTCGAAGAAGGAATGGAAGAAGAAAGAGCTTGCAGAACTAGATACTGTGCTGGCTGAGCTGGGGATTTCTGGACATGGTACCCAGCTTGATGCAATTAGTAAATGTATAGAACTTACTCATGGTGTGACTTGTACCAAATTAAGAACATCTTCACTATTTCATACTCCCTCCGTCCTCTAATATAAGGGATTTTAACATTTTACTTGCACTGTTTGACCATACGTCTTATTTAAAAAAAAGAATTATTATTTATTTTATTTGTGACTTACTTCATTATCCAAAGTATTTTAAGCACAACTTTTCGTTTTTTATATTTGCATAAATTTTTTGAATAAAATGAGTGGTCAAACAGTGGAAACAAAATATCAAAATCCCTTATATTAGGGACGGAGGGAGTATTCATTAACTATTGTTTATTGATCATATGATATATTTTAATAAACAAGCAAGTATTTTGATTTTTCCCAAATTTACAGCTGAAAGAAAGCCAGATAAGCAGAATGGTGGTGATAAGAATGGTGCTCCTGTACCTTCAGAGAGCAAGACTTCAAGGAAGAAGAAATCAAAGAAGACAAATCAATCAAGGATTCTAAAGAGCAGCCCAATGAAATGGATTCCAGCAAGGACCATGGAGAGGTGGCGGATACAAATCTGAAGAGGAAATCACAGCTGTGTATATGAAGGAGAAGATGAAGAAGATAGCTTCAGCCAAAAAGAAGTCCGGCAGAGGTGGATGGGGCTGCAAAGCATGCTGCAAAATGGAGGATGCTGCTAGGAGTGCAAAGCTTGCTGGTGCAAAGAAGAAAGAGAAAACCAACAGCCTGTCGATAGATAGACTGCTTCCATCACCAAGTTCAGAGTTCAGAATGAGCACCGGGCTCATTTGTTCTACTTGGTCTGTTTGGTTTAGATTGCTGAACGCACTTCTCATGAATATATCCACCATATCTGGTAAGATATGCTGCCCTTATGTGATCAACATTGGAGATTTAGTGAATGGCAATTGTGTCATCAGCATGCAGAAATCGTACTCAGTAAACTCAGGTTTCATCGGTGCCAACGGCTTGACTTCTGGATATATTTGTTGATGTCAACTTTACCAATGGTCCAGCTTATCAGGTGGATATTGGCTTGGGAACATCCATTTTCTGTCTTAGCCTATAGTCAGAACATGCTGCCAATTTTTAGGTCAGATTCCTCGCAAAAAAAAAATAGTTAGTATTCTGCATGTGCCGGACATTTTTTGTGGCTTTGTTCTCCGCAGTTATTATGAAGTAGAAGTGCCTGGAGTTGGATTTGCACCAAGAATTGACCTTAAATTATGCTTTGCCGTATGCAGTCAATAACCAGGTGCAAAGCAGAGGAAAGAAAGATTTGGGCACTTCATCACGAAGCAGCCAGAAATGATCTTTGCTTCAGATACAAGCTGGTGAACTTTCTGGCGTTGACAGAGTTGGCTCTTTCTTAAGTCAGCTTTAAGAATTGGCAGCACGGTGACTCTGAAGCTCATGAACAAAGAGTACGCAGCCAAGGTATCTCAATTCTTAAAGTTTTTAGTTTGATTCACCTCCCTCTTTTTCAAGAGGAGTCCTTAAAGAAATTTCTTCGCTTTTTTGTCGGCGTTCCAAAAAGGCATTTTTGCCTCTCGTTGGAATCGAAACCTGCAGCCCTTTCTTCCCATCCACTGTGGCAGTATCCATTCACTAGAAACCGTCGTTTCGCCTACAGCTATTACAAGCTGTAGCTTTTGTTAGCGGTTAAAAAATATTCCCTTTGTTTCGTATTATAAGTCGTTTGACTTTTTTATAATATGAGATAGAGAAGGTTGTTCATATGAAAAACTTTTTTATATGTATTTTGGACGACTTAAAATTCAATGGTACGATTAAAAAAAATCAAAATCAACTATAAAATTAACTTTTAATATAAATTCTGAAATAAAGTATGATAAAAAAAATCAAGATCAATTTTTAAAATAACTTTTAAATTTTAAAGAGTAAATTGCACATTGGTCTAGGTATTTTTACCTAAGTTTCAACATGGACAATCCTAAAGACAAAGTTTTCACTTTGGGCCAGTTTCTTTTACCAAAAGCTTTCACTTTGGACTGGATGCTCTCACATGTCAGTAGATCAGGAGATAAGAGAGGACGCCGGCAAGCTTGTGATGGAGATGATTGGATTGTGGACGTCGGCAAGCTTGTAATAGAGATTATTGCAATGTGACAACACCTAGATATGCGAAGGAAGTTCTGCACGCATGAAACGATAGCACACATCTCGTTCTTTCGTCATGTCATGAGTGGGTTTAGCCATCTCTACCTGAACCGTGCCACACCGCGCATCAAGAAGTTGTTTGAATTGAGTGTCATCACAATCCAATCATAATATCTACGGCGAGGTCAGTCACACATGCCCAAGTTGTGAACATACCCTGCCCCAAAGTGCAACTCTTGGCAATTGGCAAAGAAACATGGTGTAAAGTGAAAATCTTGACTTAGCCCTAGCCCAATATGAAACACTGGTAAAAAAAATGTAGTCCATGATGAAATTTACTCAATTTTAAATTTGAGCTGGGGGCTACTGAGTTGAGGAGTAACCGATGGCGCTGACTGAAAAACATCCTCATCAGCTTGCCAGTTTCAGCTGGCGGATTCAGCAGCTGCCCGGGTTGGATTGGAGGACGTCGCCGTCAAACGGCACACGACATGGTCGCCTTCCGTGGGACCTCGTGCCGGCAACGGTTATCCGTTGGGCGCCCCAAAAAAAAGGTATCCTGCGGCGGGCGGTTGCTCTCGCGCGCCATTTACCGGCGGCGGGTTTTCGGATCAGATCGTCGCCGTTCGTCGTCTTCTGGTTTACACATCGTCACTTGCCGCTGCAGGGATATGTGTGATGTGTCTACAGGGTCCACTTTGAATCCATTTGGCTCATGGTTTTTTTTGGTTTGTCCTGTCCGTGTCTTCAAGAGGGAAATGTCACAGATGATTGCCAAAATATCATCCGAAAGCTGGCTCTGTCAATTGTCTCGGATATTACTGACATCATTATTCTATTTTTGGGATTTGTAAATTTAATCAGTGACATATGGTAGGGGTGGTGGTATTTTTCTTTGGGTGTAGCTATATTTATGGCGCCATATTTTTTATCAAAAAATAAGTTTAGCAGTAATATGCGGGATTTTTCTACAGAACGTGTTATAACCCAAACATGTATATGCACATGTTCAGATTCACCGTTAAAAATAGTTTTTTTATAGAGCAGAGGAAGTATATATATACAACACTTTAAAAGGATTTCAGCAAGAATATGAATTTATTATAATCTTTTGTCTCTTTAAACATGTTCTAACCCCCTTACTCTCCTGCTCTCTGATTTTGAATGCCTGATAGTCCCACAGTTCATTAGCCTACATATCACGGGCCTACATGTCAGCGTCCTATATCAAAAGAAGCTTCTTCCGTGCAGTGTACACACGCTTGATGCTGTTTGCATATTTGAAAAGAAAAAAATAGCGTTCAATTTGTGGATGCACGGAAGACTCCAATGAGCTTATCTGCTTATGTGAAGTAAACAAACAAAACAGAGCTTATGCAAAACTGATCATCTCCATCTCGGATCATCGTATATACGAAACGCTGAGCTTTAAGTGTACAACACAAACATATACACTATAAAAATTGCGCACAAAAACGTATACACAATCGCGCGCGCGCGCGCGCATATGTACGTACGTACAGTGTACGTTTCTGTACGTACATTACTTGCACGTATCGTTATACTTCGACGCAGCACGCGGCCTGCACGTACCCCGCGAACTCCGGCGGCGCCGCGGCGCGCGCCCACGACTGCGCCGCGCCGTTCTTGTCGCCGCCCTCCCCGGTGGTGAGCAGGTACACCGCCTGCTCGCCGCCGTGGCTCCCCGCGCCGATGGCGACCACGCGGCCGTCCCCGATGGCGGCGAGGGCCGTCACCGCGCGGCCGTCCTCGGGCAGGCTCGCCACCGCCCGCCACGCGGCGCCGCCGTTGTTCGTGGCGTCGCGCGCCGCGAGGTGGCCGTCGCGGAGCATGTACATCGTCGCGCCCGCCGCGGGCGCCGGCGCGGCGCAGCACGTCCTCGGGCACGTCCCCTCGTCGAGGACACGCTCCTGCACGGGGCCCCACGCCCACGCGGCCGGGTCGAACGCCTCGGCGGAGCCGGCGAACCGGCCCTGCGCCTCCGTCGGGTACCCGCCGACGGCGACGAACCTGCCGCCGACGCAGACGCCCCTGGCCTCGTCCCGCTCCGCCGCCATGTCCGGGAGCGGCACCCACGCGTCGGCCTCGGCGTCGTACGCGACCGCCGACCGCAGCGCGTTCTTCTCCTCGTCGTGCCCGCCGGCGACGAACACCCACCTCCCCACCGCGGCGCACGCGAAGAACGACCGCCTCGGTCCAGGCATCGCCGCGCCGCGCCGCCACGACCCGGACAGGAAGTCGTACACGTGCACCGCGTCCGTCGGCGCCCACGTCTCGGGATCCCACCCGCCGACCACCACCAGCCGCCTCCTCTCCCCGCCGCACGCCGCCACCGCGGCGAGCTGGCAGAAGAGCGGCAGCCCACCGGCGCCGGGGAGCGGCGGCAGCGCGGCCCAGCCGCCGGCGACGGGGTCGTGGAGGACGAGGCGGTAGGAGGTGGACAGGCCGGCGTACTTGTTAGCCGGGCCGGCGGCGGCGAGCGGCGGCTCGGCCTGGGCGAGGGCGAGGAGCGGGCGCGCCATGCCGCGGGCCCTGCGGAGGCGGTGGTAGAACGGCGACTCGACCTCCGCCTTCCACCGCCGCGACGTGCTCCTCGCCGACGGCAGCTGGTCGAATCCCACGCGCAGCAGGCATTCCCGGGCCACTTCCTCCGGTAGCCCCGGAATCAGCTCGTCATCACTCATCGCTTAATCCGATCGCTTCTTCTCTATTAAGAAATTGAAAATTGAGAATCAGAGAGTGGAACTGTGGATTAGTCAAGTGGAGATGTTGGGGTTTGGGAATAGAGGGAGAGGTTTAAATAGGCGGGCAAAGGAGAGAAAGGGATTCGGGAGAGGTCGGAGTCCGCGGGAACGAGGCGTGGTGCGGCAGTGTTTTGGGGGAGGGGGGGGGGGGGGGTGGGAATTGCGGCGAACCGTTTGGTTTGAGGGGAACCGGGGGTCGCGTCGCGTCGCGTGGTTTTGGAGGTGTGTTTTAATTTGCGTGTGTTTCTATTGTATTCGGCGGCGCGGGCACACGGTTGGGTCAGGGGGAAAATTGGATGCAAATGAGGAGTCACGAAGGCGCCCGTCGCTTAAGATTTTCTTTTAACCCGAATAGATTTCAATATAACTTCGTATTTGGATTGGGATCCTCTATTACAGTACTCTCTCTCTCTCCCATAATATAATAAACTAGTATCGGATGAGATATTTCATAGTACAACGAATATACTAGATAAGAGGGTGTCTACATTATAATATGAAATGTCTCATCCGATATTATGTTACTATAATATATTAATATATTATAGGAGTAGCATGTAAATGTAATACGGCAGAGAGGTACAATATATGGCATTAGGGATACTGTGTATCGTTGGTTGTGTGATTGATGGTTCGGATGATCTGCTACAGTAAATTCTGCTGTAAAGCAACATCTACTATACTGTAGCTACAGTAGAGCGCTGATGCTCAATGCATTCGTTCACTGTTCTCCTCACATCACCAATGTTGCTCAACATTACTGCAGAGTAACTGGATTCATAGTATTTACTCTATAAATTTCACCATCAATTTACACATCAATATTAAAATTTGATGGAGTTTTTGCCGACGAGCCACTGCCGGCTGGTATGACTAGGCTATATGTGCGTACAACCACAAGTTTTTTTTAATACTGTAGTAAAATTTATTTCGATTTTTTAGAACACAGTACAAACGTAAACGTTCATATACTCACTTCTATAAATACACATATGCACACCATATTAAAAGATTGGATTGGTATATCTTAATATTGATGAAATCAACACGGACATCTCATTGTCAACAATTACATTGCCTAGCAATAAAAAAAATAATCAGCTATAAATTTAAACATTTAGAAATTCAGAGGGAAATTCTATCACAAGAAACCTAATCAGTTAAACTATTGCTCACTTAGGTTATTTCTACTTTTGTTTCAACGAAGCTATGGCCAACCCGAAGTCTTGAATGTATACGTCGATTTATGTGTGACAAAGTTGTTATGGCTTGGTTAACTTCATGATCCGTTCCTCTCTATGTACTACCCTAGTCCCTTGGTTCAAATGATCTTGCTGCCTTATGTTTTGTATGATAATCTATCCACATAGTAGAATGTGTCTCATCTAATTAAAAACACTTATATTTTAGGGCGGAGGGAGTAGTAGATAGCTTTTTTTATAACGGTGCTAGTATTTTCTTTCTATGTTTAAATTTATAGTAAGAAGTTAATTCCTTTATTTTGATGGGAAGAGTACAGAGTTGATTCTGTTTACCGGTCAATAAAAAAATACCGGTACCTTTTAAGCATACCAGTTATTCCTCGTGCCCATCCAACTAATCGATCAGGATAAAGGGTGATATTTAGTGGACCAGCGGAGTGACCGAACAGACAAAACAGAGCAGAGCAAATAAAGCAAAGCTCTGGTTAACTTAACTGTAACTGCAAGTGCATCCATTCCATTAACCCATTTCCTCCCAAATCGACGTCCGTCGCGGTCGGAGCCGCGGATCGATCAGATCGTCGGCGCACCGCCCTATCCACTCGTTCGCGACGCCGCCGCCGTCGACGAGCACATGCTCGCACGCGCGCTCTCGATCCCGTTTTTACAGAGAGCCACACAGAGTCACAGACACAGGAGTGACATGTCACTGTCACTGTTACGCATCGAGTGTGACTGACGAGCTGATTTGAGCCGATCGTGCAGTGCAAATTGTCGATCAGATTGGGCGTTGGGAGCATCAATGCAATTGCACCGGCTTTAATCCGGCTCGTTTTTTGGCCGCTGGTGTAGCTTGCAGGATCGATTGCAGCTAGCTACTAGCTCAGATATTAATTTGGGGGATTATTTTCAGGATCAGTCGAATGTAACGCGCTGTTCACACTTCATCACACACATAATTGACAAATTTTACAGGGACAGCAAGATGGCCAAGACGGCAAGATCAAGTTCTTTATCAGGTTTGGATCGATGATGGCTGGCTCGTGTGTCCAAGCGCAACGTTGTTGTTATTTATTCGTGAGACTGACCGGAGAAAGAAATAAAAAAGGGAGATCTCTCCGTCGTATTTACTCGCCAGTAATGTGCCGTCGCATGACGGCGATAAGAATTTCAGTATTGGGCCTGTAGTTCAGTAATGCAATATTTTTGTGGCAGAATAAGATTCAGTTCTTTTTTCTTGATTGAAGAATGGAAGAGGTCGTTGATTTTCGCCTAATTGTAATATCATTTCACATTTGGATGGTCATGATATCTGGTTTATTTACTCGCCAGTAATGGGCCGTCGCATGATGACGATAAGAATTTCAGTGTCGGAGAATGAACTCCTCCACCAGGGAACCGTGAGGCCCCCCTTTGTGAGTTCGGCCGAGGGCAGCGGGTGAGATTCAAGGATTCGGTGAGCGAAGCTGTGTGATCTTGAGGGGGTTCAATCCCCAAAGACGATGAGACAAAAGGGGTTTATACAGGTTCGGGCCTACTCCTGTGTTTGGGATTATGGTCAAGTGTAGAACACAAGTGCCTGGGGTTGCGAGACTCAAGCGCCAGTTCGCTCGGAAGTCCCCCCCCACCACTAGGCCTGGACCTCCTTTTATACCTCAAGGGGTTACCACATGGGCCCAACAACCTAACCTAGCTCCGGTGGAGAAGTATTATAATCTTTGCATTAAATGCATGTCTTGTCTCTTGGCTTGGGAAGCCATGCGCACGTCGTCTTGATGATGGGGCCTGTCAAATCTTGCCGCCTGACACGGGGGGTGCCCCTGTCAGTCACCATTTAATGGGTGAAGACTTCTGGGCTCCTATTACACCGGGAAACGGGAGCCTTGCTTTGACCAAAGCGGGAGGACCGACTCCGGCTGGGATAAGAGGATGAGAACCTCTCACCATCATTATTTGATGGGATATGTCGGGCTGCACGTCGCCTGACACAAGCGATGGTGCGCATGACATCCTGGGTCCCATCAGTCATTCGACCGGTCACAGACCGGTTGAGTGCACTGCATACCGCATTAAATGCGGCGTGGCGCGACCGCTTGGGTCGCCATTAATGCGGGTAGGTGGGCACCTGGAGGCGGACACCTAACCCACCGTACGTGGTGACCTAGATAGGGGGTCGGGGGAGTCCGACACCTAGTCACGGGAGGGGGCGGTCGCCGCCCGACCTCGGGCCCGATCTCCCCTCGGGGGAGGGCCACGTGGCGCCTGGGGCAGCCTTCTCCCTCTAGTCTCGGCCAGGGAATGGCCGCCACCCTACCTCGGGCCCGATCCCCCTCGGGGGAGGGCCACGTGGCATTGGGGGGCAGCCTCCTCCGTCCAATCTCTGGGAGGGAGTGGCCGCCACCCCACCTCGAGCCTAACTCCCCTTGGGGGAGGGCCGCGTGGCATTGGGGGACAGCCTCCTTCGACTAGTCTATGTAGGAGTGGCCGCCACCCCACCTCGGGCCTGACTCCCCTCGGGGAGAGCCACGTGGCATTAGGCTGCCCCCCAAGGCCACGTGGCCCTCCCCCGAGGGGAGTGAGGCCCGAGGTGGGGTGGCGGCCACTCCTTCCCAAAGACTAGTCGGAGGAGGCTGCCCCCCAAGGCCACGTGGCCCTCCCCCGAGGGGAGTGAGGCCCGAGGTGGGGAGGCGGCCACTCCTTCCCAAAGACTAGTCGGAGGAGGCTGCCCCCAAGGCCACGTGGCCCTCCCCCGAGGGGAGTGAGGCCCGAGGTGGGCGGCGGCCACTCCTTCCCAAAGACTAGTCGGAGGAGGCTGCCCCTCAAGGCCACGTGGCCCTCCCCCGAGGGGAGTGAGGCCGGAGGTGGGGCGGCGGCCACTCCTTCCCAAAGACTAGTGGGGGGCACTCTAAACATGATACCCCGGGCCCATATCACCGACAGTAGCCCCCGGCGTTAGCCCTGACCAAACCCTTTCCCAGGTGGTCAGGGTTGACGCCAATCTTCTAGTCAGTTGACATGTGGGCCCGATCTTCTATCCTATCATTCTGGGAGTTGGGCGGTGGGAGTTTAGTCACGTTCATACGTTGCCTTAACTTCTCACTTTCCTCCCGGTTTCCGAAGCGCTGTGGGCTCGGGAGTTTAGCACGTACCTTAGGTCGTGAACTTATTTCATGTATATACTCAGCAAACGGTTTTAGATTCTCTCGGGCCCGTGACCTTACGCCGCGTACCTCGCTTGCCCCTGCCTTTTGTTAACCTCTGTTGGTGTTCTACTTTATCTATTCAAACGATTATTTTCGCATGAGTGTGAGGACTGAACTTCCCATAGCCAGCAATCTTTACCCGTGATCAAGCCAGGCTGGGCGCCGTAGCCAGCCGGTGGGGCCAAAGCTAGCTGCTACGGAAGAGCCAGCACAGGGGGCCCCGGGCGTCGACGGCGACCAAAGCTCGACGCAGGGCTAGAATAGAGCTAGGAATCGTAGCCCCCACACTTTTAGCAAAGAATCATTTGAATAGATGAAGCGAATACAAACTTTTTGTTATCAAGGGAGGCAAGCCAGCGCGCGACACATGGGTACCGCGGGACTACGAGGAAGAGATGGGCGACAGATAAATATAAGCAATAATAATTCTATGCAAACGATTATCTTCGCGCGAGTGCGAGGACTAAATTTTCCATAGCCAACAATCTTCACCCATGATCAAGCCAAGTTGGGCGCTGTAGCGAGCCGTCAGGGCCAAAGCCAGCCGCTACAGAAGAGCCAGCACAGGGGGGCCCAGGCGTCGACGGCGCCCAAAGCTCGACGCAGGGCTAGGATAGAGCTAGGAATCGTAGCCCCAGACTTATAGCAAAGAATTGCTTGTATGAATGAAGCAAACACAAACCTTGCTTGCATGTCACGACCTTTCAAACCTTTAGCTCGAAGAGAGCCCCCCACCATGGGTTCCGAACCATCTTGGGAAGCCTGT